TATTTAAAGACTACTTAACAGTAATGTTTATATCCTCCTCATATAGGAGAATTTTCGAAATTATCTGTAGCAAAGATTGTACGCTTTTCAAGACCTTTATAATCTTTAGTCCCTGGAAGGCGTGCATCACGCGTTGGACAAATTCTCCAACCAGATTGTCTCTCCCAAGTCTAAGAAGATTAATATCTAATAATATCAAGTATACTGTACTTGGAGCGAGAAATGTTCTGTTTTAACTCACGTATGTGTGATATTTAAAATAATACCATCCAACATAAATTCCAGTAATACCCATTAAAATTCTTCCTGTTGTGAAGCGTATGACTCTTGCACTGAAATCTCCCTGTACATAAGTAATAAATGTAAGAGTACAGAATAATGAATATTTAGTGTAATATCGATAAATGAGACTTACTACAGCTGGAGCTAGTAATTTTTCAACTTGATTTAATGGTGCCATATAGAACCTTCTTATTGGATTATAATATGCCTCATAATATCCTTTTGGTGTTATTGGTTCTCCTGGTGCAAGCTCTAAACTTTTTACATAGCGTGCTCTGTATGCACGTTCTTCATCTGTCATACCAATACAACGTTCTCTTTCTCTAGCCATACGACCAGCAATGGTTATAACTTTTACACCACCAGAGTTAGAGGATTCCATGGTGAATGATATTAACTAAACACAAAAATTTGTTTAATGTCATATACACATTATCTAAAAATTCAATGTATCACTGATTAATCATGTTCTCTTAAAGGAAAAATATTGACAGCTAAAACAAATAATTCCTTAATTAATACAGCCAAAAATAAGATATTAAAAAGTCTAAAACTTAATTAAATACACATATATGTATGATATTAATATATAATTATATTCTATCTGTTCAGAAAGATTGTCAGAACACACAAACTAAAAAAATAAGATTAATGTATGCATTTATTTAGAAGCAAATATTGAAATAGTACGAAATATATTTGCAGTGTGGTGTTTAATATAATATCAAGTAGTTTCAATTGGAAATTTGGATGAATATTTATATTTGGTAAAGACAAACCTGATCTTTTCCTCCAAAGTTAACTATACAGGTATTACATCACACAGGGGTTCTCCCAGAGTTGCCCAGAGTTCTCCGCTCTCCAATAGGGGAAGTGCAGGGAAGTGTTGACGTATACAATATGTATGCACTGAAATAACTGAATATATTCATTGTACACACTTCCCCTATATGAGAACTATTGAGAACCTTGATCAACCGGGCACATTTACATACAACTGTGCACATATATGTGTTCTTATGGATTAGTAATTAATGTATAATGATTAATAATACAAAATACAAAACGAAAAATGACATCTCGAGAGATATTGACCATTCAATTTGGCCATTATTCTAACTTTATTGGTACTCACTGGTGGAATTTGCAGGTATTTAAAGGAAACCTGTAATGCTGACCTTACGTTATCAGTTTTATTTAAATTTCTGTATTAAATACCTTCTAGGAAACTAATTTCTCTTATGATCCCGATCATGCATCCGAAATAAATCATAACATTTTGTATAGAGAAGGTGAAAATTTGAAGGTAGACAAATTTGTTGCATTATTAAATTAAGTGTATCTCTTTCTTACCGGCTAATAATAAAATGATTATTTTTTTTAGAAACAAGTTACATATACGCCAAGGTTGTTGCTCGTAGATCTAAAAGGAACATTTGGATATTTGAAAGAAGAAGGCACCTTGTATGATGTTCCACAGCATGAAGGAATACAACAATCCTTATGGAATGATAACAAAGTAGAGATTGTGAAAGAAGAAATAGTTGACAAAACTCCATTTATTAGAAGTTTAGATGAACCCTCTGAAACATCAGAATCAGCAACGACATCAATATCGTTCGAGTTGGAGAATGATGTTAACTCGTGGGTGGATTATCTGTTACCCAGATTTCATCCTAGAACATTGAACATGATCAGGGAATATGAACACAATTCGACAATATATCCTTTCGATGTTTTCACGTATGGGAGGAATTTATGGAATACAGAACAATTTTCTGATGATTTTTCGGAAAAGATAAGAGTATATATCGAAGAATGCGATTTGATGCAGGGTTTCCAGGCATGTAGTTTGTGCTTATGTTTTCTTAGGCATTGGGTTGTCTAGAAGATTCTTTTCGCTTTTAATATGCAACTTCCAATGACGTTCGAAAATCTTGTCTTAAGATACAAAATCATAGCTATTTAAAGTTGCGTGTCAGGAACAATCTTTTGGCTCAACGTAATGCTTTTTATCATATTAAGATGCGACATTGACAATATTTTGAAATACAGATAATTTTGGATTCTACCGATGGCTTTGCTGGTCTTGGGGTATCCTGTATGCAACATTTGAGAGACGAATATGGGAAAAGTATATTGTCGTTTCCATGTATAGATAGTAAAGAGACCGAATCATCGTCATCAAGCATGATTAAAATACTTAATACGGCTCTGTGCTGGCAATACACTGGAGAATACGCTTCGTTGTATAGTCCGCTCTGTTCCGCGCAAACAGCTTGGTCAAACGTCTGTGATCCGCGAGTATTTCAACATTTAACGTACAATTCCCAGTTGAAATATCATAGTAGCGCGCTGTTGGCGACAGCTCTGGATACATTAACAATTAGATACAGGCGTAAAGAATATCCGAACGTCGTTTTGTCTGATTTATGTGCGGATTTGAATAAGCTTGGTCGGAAAGCAGCTGCGACGAGCTTAACGTTACCGTTTCCAATGACCGAAAAGACTGATCTGATAGATGTACTCGACAACTTCGAGGGACCACTGTGGACAAGCCTAACACTAAATTGCGATATATCAATGGACAGAAATATGCAAAGCATTGTGTTGCGCGGAATACCTGAGGAGAGATTAAAACGGCCTATGGCCCACGCGATGAAACAAATATCGAAACCGGCGTACAGATGTTCCAGTGTACACGAAATGATGACACTTTACTTAGCTGCCACTTGTCACGCGTCGGCAACTTATTTATCCAGCATTTCATCACCCCTGAACATAAAATGTCCGTATCCTAAGATTTTCAATAACAATGTTACCGAAACTGGAGATGTTATTGGATGGCCTATAGGAACAGGTTCGTCTATGCTTAAATATTCTTATGCAAATCATTTCCGAAGCATTTTTAGTTGTCAATATAATTGGCATCATATATTTTAAATAATGTTCTATTTATCGAAACCAATTTAACGAACTACATATCTGGTGGTACGTTCTGTTGAACGTGACACGAAATTGTGAGCCAGCCGGTACGCGCCGGCGTCAACGTGTTAAACCTTAATTCGAGTTGATACATCATTGACTAATTCCTATTTTCAGATGTTAAATCTGTGCCTGTAATGGCTGGCTTACACAGCGGGAGCAGTCTCGGTGCGATGTACGATTCTTTGTACAATCAATTGAACAGGATAAAGAGCATAAAGAAGTATCATATGTTTACGGACTCCGGCTTGGAGGAAGACGAGTTCAAAGACAGTCTCGATCATTTGCTCGATTGTAAAGAAAATTACGAAGATCATTACATGTAACTACTGCATTATTGTATTTGATAGACACTTTTATATTTCACAATAAATCTTGTACTTAAAACATAATTAAAGGTCCTTTAAGTCCTTAATTGGTACGTTCTTTAAAAAATCCACAATTATTATTTTATGTTAACATTTATATTTACTTACATCATCAAGCCTTTACACTTAGATCAAATATATGTTTTTTATAATGTTCTAATTCTTTTATGCTTTCCTGTATATCTGCCAGTGCTCTGTGCTTATGTTGTTTAGGGAAAGTAGGCACATCAATATTCCATCTTCTAAAATTGGAATAATTATATAGTATTCAATTACATGCACAAACTATTAAAATATTAAATCTTTATACATTATGCTCTTACTTTATTAACTCTTTAATGGTGGAAGTATCAATAATTCTATAATGTAAATAATCATTAACCATTGGCATATATTTGTATAAAAACATACGGTCTACATAAACTGAACTTCCTGCCAATGGACTAATTCCCTTTTTTACATATGTACTTAGATATTCTAATACCCTTTGTTCTGCATCTTGTAGCATTACTTTACTTAACTTTGATTCATTAATTAATCCAGTCTAAAAGTTGAATACAAAAAATTCATAAGTAGTTTGTGATTTATCATTGAATCTTCTAACTTGGCGATACCTTTTGATGAGTTTTTAAACACCATTCATTCATGTTGTTCAATACCTCATCTGGTTGATGTACTACAATATTCAAATCTTCACTGATGACATTTAAATTTTTGTCAGTGATTAAACATGCTATTTCCAAGATATGACATGTATTTAGATCAAGACCGGTCATCTGAAATATAAAATAGACAAGTAGTGTTGAGAAAAATATTCTATTGCATACAATGCATGTTATACTGTTACATACTTCCATATCTAACCAAACAACATCAGCATTTAAATTTTTCTTCGTATTTGTAACCAAGCATAACATAGGTGACAGGGCTGTTAAAAAAAATTGTACATATTCTCCTTTTACAGATATATAACTGTGCACTACTTAAACACATCAGTGAAATATCTTTATGCTCTTGAATACCATTTTAACTATATGTATATAAAAATATGAAATACGTATTGAAATTACCATTTTGGAAACTACGAGAAACAGTTAATTGTATATAATTCTTTGACCATTTTAAACAACGTGTAAAAATCATCTTTTTCTGTAATAAATGTGAATTACAAATACAAGATTCATAAGGTAAACAATAAATAATATATTTTTGGGGAAACTTACTAAATATCACTAAATATACATCAAATATCTAGTAACTCTACGAATTATGAATATGGCGTCAGTGACGAAATGATAGAAAAGGTAACTGAAATTGATGAAACTGCCAGTGGCCAGTGATTCCTATTCCTATCCTATTCACCGCAATCTCCAGCAATCTCCAGCATCGCAACTCGTCGTTCTTTATTCTATGCGTTTGCGTCGGTTGGGTTATAGAAAAAGTACTGAAAAGAATTCTTTCGAAGTTAGTGGGTGACTGTAATTTTATCCGATAAGTATTAATTGGAAAAATTTCTTTGAAAGACAGATATGGAAGCGGAACCCTTAGAACTTGAAGACGGAGAAGTAATAGACGATGAGGTAAAATATTTTGTTATAATTCTGTATTTGACAGAAGTCTAACCTACTGTAGCCTGGAAAATATTGAGTTTCGTTACTGAAATCCTTAGATCGGTTAAAATTATTTCAATTCAAAAAGTTCAAATTTTACTAAATGATTTCTCAAACTTTTTAATTACAGTTAATACTTTTAAACCCGTTGAAAATAAATCGTGATACTTATCAACGAGGTACGATAATATTTATTAAGTCTTATTGTATATTTCTATTTCAGACTAGTGATATTGAAACTTACAATGTTTTAAAACGGCCTCATGCAGTTGCAAATAAAGAAGAAGATGTAAAAATAGGTTATAGCGATGAGTCTGATGATTCTGCAGATTCTGAAAGTGATTCTGATTCAGATTCTAGTCATATTAAAAATAAGAAACCTAAATTAAAACTGAAACAGTCTAGAAATGATGTACGAAAAAATTGGAGAGATAAAAATGACAAATACAAGATTTGGTGCACTCAAGTACAAGAGGAATCCCTGACAGAAAATTTAGTATTATGTGGCGTGACCAAACAAAATCTGGAACGTAGTGTTGAAAGTTACAGTATTCCGCACCATTATACTTTCAATGGTAGGAATATGGAACATCGTAATAACAATAGTTCAGAAGATGAAAAGGATGGCGAGAGAAGATTGACAAACAAAAGAACAAATTTTGATAGAAGCAATGTTAAATTAAGATTAGGGAAAAAGCGTAATTCAATGGATGTAGATAATCAAAAAGGATCTGCACGAAAAATAGGAGACTTGAGTACAACAGTTGAATCGACCGATGCTGATGTAGCTGCAGACATAGCAGCAAAACTTTGCGAGAAAAAGGATGTCCTTATAAGTAAGAACTTCATTGGTAACACAAGTTATTTTACGTGTATATATTTACAATTATTAAAATTATTGTTTTATAGGAAGGATTGTTGATATAATTGGTAAAGAGAAAGCTATTAATTTCTATGAAAAAACAAAGGAAATCGAAGAAACAGGAGGAATGCTAATTATGAATGGATCCAGGAGGAGAACTGCAGGTGGTGTATACTTGTGGTTAGTGAAAACAGATGAACATATCCCACAAGAAAAAATAAGGGCGATTTTTTATTATGATAAGAAAGAGCACTCTGATCAAAAGAAGGTTGATGCTGCTGCAAGGAGACAGAAAGCGCAAGAATTAATTAAGTGTTTAGAAAGTAAGTTATTTTATTCAGGGATTGGCAATGTTCAGAATTAAACAGCTCTATATCAGTGACGGAGAAAAAATGTTATAAGAATCGGAAACGATATTATAACTATTTTTAACCTCTGATTTTATTATTACTGTACTAGATGGCTCCGAAAAGGATCTACCTGCTTTGTTAACGAAAGCAGAATTGTCTACAACAGAAATAGCAGAAGAAGCAAGATTAAGACGCGGAGAGGACATGGATAGAATGCCAGTGGATTCTGAAAGAACGATGACTAATCCACCACCTAGCCCAGTAACGGACGATCCAGATCATTCGGAGCAGCCGCTTGTAGAAAGGCATGTACAAGAATATGGAGATGATTTTCTCGACATTGGGATAGACATAGACAGTATGGAAGTACTTTAAAACATTTTTATCATTTGTTTCTATGTATCCAGATAATTTGTACAGAATGAGTTTTAATCTTTGGAAAACACACATTATGTGAATGTGATTCACATTTCGTATGTTTGCCTACAATATATACAAAAAAAAACAACATGAACGTGATCGAAGTGTCAGTCGATTCGCATCTATTGCAACGACGTTCCATATTGTGATAAAAATAATTTATCAAGTGTACATATTATAATATGATAACATAGTTTGTTACTTTCTCAAAGTTTAAAAAACAAAAAATATTTGTATACTCTTTTCCTATGTTTCATTTAACATGTTTGTATTTATTATTAAGATGCATGTAAAAAAAAGATGTAAGAGACGTAACAAGTATGAGATTTTGTAGAAATTACAATAACGTGAGATACACAGATAATTAACGTTGCGTCGTTTCTATGAAATTTTCATTGTTGAACATTGTTTATGTACATAAAAGTCATTATGAAAATAAATATTAGACTATTTGTACTTTGTATATAATTGAACGAATTGTCTCGCATACATTTGTATGTACATGTAGCTTTATTTAGTTATTTAATTATATATTATTATCATGTCACTATATAACAATTATTTTTTTTTAATCACTTACAATTAATATTTAATATACAAATCTACAATTTTTGTTTTCTTTGATTCAGGTTTAATTTGATTTTTGTTTGTTTGTACACGAATTATATACTTCAATGAATATATATTTTATTATTGAGGTAGGCTTAATTAACTCTTCTAATATATCATTCAAATCAGCTATAATAAGACTGCGTTATTTAAAATTATTACATGATTGAATGTAAGAAAAAAACTCCGATTTTATGTTGACATGAGAGTAAAATATTACATGAATGTATTATATACTTTTAGATATATTTATTTTAAGTTTTCAAAACTATTTGTCATAAAATCATACTACGTAGGGGAACAAAAATTTACATACTTATATAATTTTTATAAATTGATAAGCGAATTTTGGGAACAATTAATATCGATAGTCTTGCATAGTTTCCAAAAACTATTAATTAACATATGTATATAAATAAATAATAAATATGATGGTATAATGTTAAAAAACTTTAAGTTACTTTAATAAGCATAGTTGGTATTTTAATTATAAATAAGCCAAGTAGAATGTCATAAATATAATTAATCAGGAAAGTTTATGACACACTTTTGTAAATAAATTTTTGTATGTGTTATATGTATTGCATGTGAAAATATAGATACATAATTTTCAAATTGTTATGTTTTAATAGATAATAGAACTTATCCTATGTAATTGCTAATAACGTAATTACTTTTTCATAAATTAATGCTATTCGTTCCCCGTAGAATTTTATGATATGTTTTATAATATATATTTAATAAAGAGCACCATATTGCTTGTTGTTATAATGTAAAAGTAGCGAAAATCATGCGTATGTTACAAAAACAATACTTCATACCATTTGCATAGCTTCTTCGTATATTTCTAAAACAGTTTTCCTCAGTTAAGAATACATTTTTTAAATATAGTTGACAAGACTGTTCTTTTTTCTAAACCATTTTTTGTAGCAAAGTAAGAAGCATCTCGCACCTTTCTTTCACCTAAAAAAATATTATTTAGATCGACTAGATTAAAACATACATAAACTAATATAAAACTCACTTGATCAACTGTACGGTCTATAGTTCTACTGACGATGATTAATGATTTTTCAGAATATTCTTTTTTGATAGCTTGTAATAAAATCATATCTTCCTGTCGTGTCCATGGTTTATTACTAATATCAATATGTAAATTATGAATATTTTTTATTTCTCCAGAACAGACAGTTTTTTCATTTCCGTCATCAGTTATGTTATCAGTTTCTATATTTGAAGTAATGTTTTCTATCGTTTCTTGTGCAGGATTTATAACATTTATAGAAGAAGATTCACCTAGTTTAATTTGATCAATATTCCAATCTATTTTAGTTGTCTTATTATCCTTTTTTTCTTTTTTCTTTTTGCACTGTAATATACGCATTTTTTTCGCATATGTATCCACATCATGATCTACACCATTTCCAGCTCTTCTTTTTAAACTCTTTTTTTGATCCTTAGATTTCGGTACAGTCTTTTTAGACTTAATAATTAACTTTTCTCCTTCTTCATTTTCTTTAGTGGGTGAATTTTTTGATGTAAGAAGCTTCTGGCAATGTTCATCGGTATGACATTCGTTTTTTGTAGACTTTCTTTGTGATTTGTTCAAAACGGATGGCACAAATTTATCAACTGTTTTTAGAGATACACGTGAAATATTCTCCAATTTCTCTTCATCGGCTCCAGGAAAAATAATTTTAGCTGGTCTTAGACCCTCAGATGTTTGAAGGTAAATTTTTCCATTAAGAAACTGTAAGAAGCATTGGATTATTAATAAGCCCTCAATATATGCAGTACATATCTGTAAATTTATTGTAAAAATTAGCAAAAAGGTGAAAATCAACTTACCCTTGCACCACAAGAAGCACAATGTTCAGAAATAGTTTTATTAGAAATATCGTCGCTATTATGACAGTAGCATCTACAATTTTCTCCTCCGTAAGGATCTTCTTGAGATGCTGATATTGGCAGTTCTATATTCTCATATAACTCTGGAGCATCTTCAGGATAAACTTTGCTTTTATCATACGGTCCTACAGGACACGTTAAATTTTCAAACATATGTGGTGCGAATATGCTACAAATAATAAACCCTGTTAAGAAATGATCATTGACTTTGTATTGTTTATTAATGATTTAATATACAATTTCCATTTATATTACCTTTCTGGTGGTTTTGCATTTGGTAATGTTTGTAAAAATAAATCCATAACTAAAGGATGACTCTTGAGTATAGGACTCATAGTTGCATAGACATTTTCCAATGTTGTTTGTGGATCAGATGCGAGTTGCGCAATAGCTTGCATTATTTTTGCTATTCGTGATGGTTGCTTAGCAAAATATATCTGAGCTACATTAATAAAATCACGTATTTTTTGTAGCATTATGTACTCTACAGACTGATCAATTATAGCAGCTTGATGCGGCTTCAAAAATAATAAAAAATCTGTACAAAGTCCAGGATAATCATGCAATTTATCACAAACATCTCGATACAAATCTATGGTTATTGCATCCTTATCTTTTACAGTTCTTTGCATTATTTTCTCGTTCTCTGAAATTCTTGATACGTCAGAAAACATTAATTCACTTTCTGTTCGATCAATACTTTCTAACTTTTCATAATAATCCACAAAGGATTTTATCACAGACCGGAAGGTTTCTGGATTATTGGATTCTAACGTCAAATGTAACTTTTGAAGATACGATGCTGCAAATTCTGTACATAATAGTACAAATTAATAGTATACTGAATCCAATTCTATTATCCTAAAAGTAACAAATACAGTAGACTCCCGTATAATGCGAGTTCCTACAAAACCATAAGTAATATATAGGAATTCCGCGCAATTAGAAATGAAATCATGACACTGTTTTCTATCGACCTCTTTTGTTTTCTGACCCGGCCGCTCGTAAAATATCTATCTTATTTTAAAACATAGAAAATAAAAATTGGCATGGTTATAATATCATGCGAGAATAATTATCGTATGACTTTCTACAACCCGAATTCATGCATCGCGTAATGTATTAACCGCGTTATACAGAAGTCTACTTGATGGATATAAAAACATACTTGAACACTTCTCTTCTTCGTTTAATGGATTTTCAGATTCTAAAAGACGTTTAACATTTTCTAATTCTTTGGCTTCCTTGGCTTTCTTTCTACTGATAGAATCTTTCTTTATAGTCGTGCTAGCTAACATTAACTCTGCTATTTCGTCCTCATTATCCTGAAATGAAATTCAATGTAATGAAGCTATTAATTTTATTTCCACAGAATGTGCAACAGTTTTAATTACAATTTTAGGCAAAGATATTTTTTCTAGATTTTTATCTAAATCATTTTTCTCTTTGGACTTCAAAGTATTACAATTGGATATTAAACTTTTTGGTCCTAAAACTTGAACCATCAGCTTCATATTTTGAGCACTTCTCGTTTTTGCCAATCTTGGTATAGTGCTCCGTAATCGTGGCAATTTCTGCATTACTTTGGACGACTTTTTGAGTAATAGCGAATGGTCTATAATTGAATTTCTAGACAGATCTTGCACTTCATTTAATTTTTCATCTATCTTCTTCTCTATTTTATCTCGTTGGAAATCATCACGATGTGAAGCGTGATTTTTGCTGAGTGTACCAGAATTGTAAGATTCGTCATTTATTTTATTACTCGACGTATTTTTTGGAAGTACAAAGGTACTTTTTTCATTTATGGCTGAATTATTTTCCAATGCATTTTTAGGTGCGATCTTTTCAGCACAAGCAACACTGTTTCTATTTTCATTTATACAAGAATCTGTTTTCATATGATCATTATTAATAGAATTCAATATTTTTTTCCGTTTCAACACATCAATTCTTTGCTCTGTCTACATAAACAAACACAGTATCAAAAATAAAAATATATGCATACTATATAAGAAAGGTATCAATAAAATACCATACATTATTGCGATAAGACTGCCATACTAGAGGCAGCAGATTTGTTGGTTGCTCTTTGGGCGCTTTAAAACAGGATTCTAATGTAATGTAATGTATTGTTCTAGGTACCGACCCCTTTTCAAAATAATGCTGTAAAAATATTGAATTGAGTTTTGTTTTAATTAATATACATTTCAATATCATATTAATCAGGGATTGAAAAGGTCCTGAACGATATAATTGTTTTCAATTTTTGATACTAACACGTTCTACTCACTTTTATTGGATTGTCACTTTTGGCAAAACGACGTTTTTGAATATGCATATATATTCCATCTGGCTTTCTACATGGAAGTAAATACTGTGCAATCAAATGTGCTGTATCCATTAATAAATATTTTTTAGATTTGAGTTTCCTTGGTTTAGAGGCAAGAAATGGGTGAAATTGTTCTAACCCGATTGCAATTAAACTAAAAATAACAGAAATTATAAAGTATAATACACTTTTTTGTAATACTGTTACTTACGCTTCTTCCGATTTCAAATATGGAATTCTTTTAAGTCCATAACTGTTAAGTTTGAAAGGTACCCATGGTAAAAGTTGCGGATATACTAAAGCCTTACTTTCCATAAACAGCTCTGTTATGTCCGGGTGAAACTTTGGAATATATCCATGTTTACTTGTATGATATACTGCCTTTATCACATTCTCGTCTGAAGAATCTTGTTTAAAATCTTCAGAAAATTTATTCAATAATTTATTTTCCCAGTTGGATACCAGCTGTAGAGCATCTGCTAAATTTGCAACATTGAATGCCGAGTTAGGCCCTGTATTTAAATTCCTAGTACAAACAATACTTATTTGATATATTTTACATTCGTGATTTAAATTATTTTCTAATTATATAAACTGACTTTATACTATTTAAATTTTGTTTGCATATTTGTGAAAGATCATGCAAATTCGGCAGCATATAAGTCATAACAAAATGTTGTGCCATTAATTGAACATGCTGACGAAATTGAACTGCCAACAACTCTCGTTGATCCTGGTTTATTACATTAGGAAGATCAGGTTCTTTGGAAGGTGGTAACTCTACTGCACAATAATCCTAAAGTCCACAATTAAAGCTGTAATACAACTGTGATTGTCAATTAAGTTACAGAAATTATACTACAGTCCTACCATAATATTGTCTTCAGTTAACAAACTTGTATTTTCTGTAGATTTCCTCTTTTTTGAAATTTCCTGTTCCTGCTGTGAAAACGTTTCAGCGAACTCAAACAATTCTGCAATCAAATTATTTAATTCTTTGCGAGTAACTTTCACAGCTTTATCAGCTCTTAGTTCCTCCTTGTCCACTGTAAATATATTTTAAATTATCCTAATAGTCTTTAAAATATATGGAAGTCGCAGTCCATGTGTATCACATACGAAATTCTGTTTCTTCATCGTCTAAAATATTGTATTCTGGATCTGCCTCTGGATCATCTTCTATTATTGGCTCCTGAGTTAATGGCTGTGTAAATTCTTTTAAAAAATTGTCCCAATCTTCATCTACTTCACAATCCCAATCATACATATCAGTTGTTATGTCGGGTGGTACAAATGCCTGCTCAATTTGTTCTAAAGGTGTTTCACTCAAGCAAAGTTTTGAACGTGTTCTTTGTCCAATGCTTTCTTCTTCTGTTGGAACATGAGGAATACTAAAAAAGAATAACTTATTTAATTAATCTTATTTGCAATTTACCTAAGGATTACATAAAAATATTATATTATACCCAGGGATTTTAAATATTCCTTCTGCATCATACTGAACATCAGATGTTTTAATTTGTTCAACTGCAGATGAATCGCAATGATTTACAGGTGTTGAGGGTTCAGAATCTATATCACTATTTACAGAACTTTCAACCTCTCTTTCATCATCACTTTGCTTGTCTTGATTTGGATCGTATTCCTCATCAGAAGAGTCTTCTGATAATTCTTCTTCAATTAAAGCCTGTACCTCTGATGATGGTTTTTTGATTGGAGTAATTGGCCATGGTATATTAACTTGAGCTGCTGCTAATTCCCTATATCAAGATGTTTTTGTTTTATAATAAGTTTCTATTTATAAAATATAACAAAAAAGATATATTAAATTAAAACAGACTTAGCCTTTGCTCTTGTCAATTTTGGTTCAAACGGCACATCATCCTTTGCATCTTGAAGACGATTTTGAACCATTGCCATTACATGTTCATTAGTTATCACATGCTTCAATATATTTTTTACGTTTGTAGCTGTTAGATTAGTTTTCGCTGCCTTAGCATCAAGTTGTCTTTCAATCTCTTCTTCCATTTCATTAATGACTGAAGAAGTCTCTTCAACAGTATCTCTTTTATGTTTACTGGATGGTTCATAATTGTCAACTTCAGAGATATCAATTTGTAAGTCAGCAGTTTCTGAATCCGAAGATGCATCACTGTTAGCATCCTCAAAATCAAAATTAAATGAAAATGACAAATTACACTTCTTTGGAGTTTCACTCACGAAAACACAAGTTGGAAGTAAATTGCCTTTTCCATTATTATTTTGTTTTGGAGATTCTTCCTCCCTGAAATAATTATCCAAATTAAATAATTTTATACCAAATAAAATATAAAGTCTTCTTTTAATAAAATTCAGGCAAGAATGCTGATTATGTACTTACATTATTTTTTTATAATACTTATGTACAAAGTTTATTAATGAAACAAAAGTAATAAACTTATCATCATCGTCTATTCCATAGCATATTTAATAACTTTAATACCTGGCTCAAAAATAAGAATGTATGTCATATTATACAAATAATACAAAAAATACAGAACACAATTATATAGCAAGTATAGGCTACGTATGTATGTTGCATTCATGGACATGTGAGCATGCGCATATCTATCTATAATATATTTCTATGTAGGGTGCACGGTGCACCACAATATGATCAGCAATTTGGGACCGCATGCCGCATGCGCCCGTGGGTCTGCATCCCTCTTACTTCTTACGTATTTCGTCACGCTTTACCGCAACAAAGCTTCGACCTTTAGATCCATGCGTGATCGTGATTTTATGATCACCGTGAAAAATCACGGTTGGTGATTTTGAACGCCATATCTAAAAAGTATGCTAAATGCGCTATTTGTGGAAACTGTTTTCATTGATCATTCATGTTGCGTTGCAGCTTGTGCATTGTATCAAATCCGCAACGCGCATGCGCTCCAAGCTGTACCCGCGAACATTTAGATGAGGTGGTTTTTTTTAGAGGGATGCATCGTACATACAAAGCACATTTTTTTAGTGGAAGGGGTTCGTTGTGAAAAGTACGTTTTTCACACGTGGAAATTCAATCGTGCATCGACATCACAGTATAAATATAACCAATAATGGCACTTGGCTAAATTTTGTGTCCGAGAAATTATACAGCACATGTACTTGAAAACCAAGAATATGGCAGACGCACCCGACAAATTCTAGAGCGCATGCACTCCATTTTCAAACAATGAACAATACTACTGAACCTTTTAGGAACATAAATAAATCATTATAACTTAAGAACTGTAGTGAATATCGCAGAGGGGAAAGGAACTTTTCTTCGTACACGTTCAGGTTTAATTTCAACTTTAATATACTCAGATCAGTCCGCGAGAAACCAAGATATTAGATATGATTTCCCTGAGGAGACCAACCACATATAAAATCGTGAGACCAATATGATACTTGATGATACTTCAGTAAGCTAATTTCCTTACAGTAAAGTCAAATTTTTATTCTTAAATTTAATGACCTTTCTTGAATGCAATACGTCTTATATGAATAAACATTATATACTTCTTTCATTATTATAATAACTGAAGTAATCAAAAGATTAGTTAATATCGTTGGAACGAAAATTGGAAGAAAATGAAATATTAAAATATGACTTGCCATAGTACCACACACTAGCAAACGAAACATTACGTCATTCTTGGCAACAATATATTGAGTTTTGAAGTGGAACTCAGGAAATATTGTAAACAGTGTATTGACTCTTGCACTACTCGCTAAGTGATAATGTATGTTAAACTAATAAACATGATATCCAAAAAGAATTTATTTATAATACTGGCTTCCACAAGAAACTTGCTAGTAATCAAAAATACACTGATCAAAAGAAATAAAATAAATGAATATTATAAACATTTGTAGGTAGAACTAAAATACTTTCTTTTTTAATATCAGTTACTAAATGCAAAAAGAAATTCATAACTGAAACTGAAGTAAAGTAAGATGTATTCTTGATCCAGTCCGCAGTGTAGAATGTATATCTCAACGTGCATAAGTCTAAGTTGCTTTCTTCTTTAGCACACAATTTTATAAATAATGTATGCCGTCCCTTGAACTGTTGCTGTGCATATTTATCGTCAAGAATGTATGCTATATTTCACCTTCCAAGTCAAAGCATTCTTTTTTAAAAAAGTACTTTGTAACTTTTAGGGAGACCATCCTGGCAGCCATATATTTGAAATAATTCAAAAGCCAAATGGTTATTTGCAAACAATTTTTTGTAAATGTCTTTCTCTTCAATGTGATAATTGACTTGAGTTCTGTTTATCATATAAAGCTGTCATAAGCCTGGAAATCTAAATAAATGGATGAAATTTATTAGTAATAGTTTCAAATAATAAAATTTCGAGCTGGATCATTTCTGAACTTCAGAAAAAAGAACTTAATATAAATATAGGTTTATTGAGTTTACCTCATAGGATCCTCAATGTAATCTGGCGGTATTTGAAATAATTTCGGATCTATATTATCGCAAAAGGCAAACTCTTGAAATGTGATTTTTGCTGTCACTGTGGGTAAAATGGGTATATCAATCTTAACGGGAAACCCTGGCGGCAATTTCATAAGAACAAACTCTCGCAGTTTACTAAAATGTTTGAACGGCGCTATTGCTTCCAAAACGTTAAGTAACATATCGACAGTTAGTGGAAAATCTGGACTCATGGCAACTGTTGCTTTGAAAGATTTACTACTTTCCTTGTAGACAAGATTCCTCCCAAGTAGCGGACATTGACCAGGTGGAGCCATAATATACTCTTCCCAAGTAATATCTGATTCCGGTGGTGGGTTTAACGATGCTCTTCTAACATGAGGCTAGAGTAATCAATTGGTTGAATTTAAATAACATGACAGGACTCGATTACTTCCTTTACCTTTCCATTAGCAAATCCCTGTGAACTTCCTTTTGTTAATGACTCCATAATAGCCTTATTCTTTTGCAAATCTTCTTCGCTTAAATGTTCTCGCCGTTTTCTACTTTCCAAAACCATTCCATTGATTTGGTAAAAATCCGCGTGGAAAGGTCCTACCATCTCCTTTATTAAATATTTTAGACACATCTCAAACTAATTTTAAGACAAGAACGGGAGAAGGGGGAGAGGAATTATAGGTAAAACCAAAAATGCTGGCTTACCCTTTTGTCTTCACGAAATATCCAGCCTGTCTGAGCTTTTGAAAGTGTAATGCTTTTTGTTGACATTTGTGCCGCCATGATATCGCTAGACATAAGAATATCAACTTCGTCTTGTATTTCTGCCTCTGTTCCCTGAAAGATGAATATATGATATGAAAAATCATCCTTTAACATAAATGCTGCTGATAGAAAGTAATTTGACCTCACAAACCACTTGTTGATAACGTTTTGCTTTGTTATCAAGTACTGCTAATGATTTGCTTGGCTTTTGATCACCGTTAAAAATGAATGATATGTCACCTCTTTCCCATCTCATGTCATTAAAATCTACTAAAGTGGTATCCATTCTAATAGATGCTCCACTTTTATGTATTTTACAAACATCAGAAGGAAGTACACGAGACACAAGTGGCACTGAAAGGATCCACATATTACATAATTGTAATTACCATGTATGACAATAATATAATGTAGTATTAAGTACCCCAACTTTGAAAATCCCATTTCAATTCCATGTAAAAATCTCCCATTTGACGCAGTGTTGCAACTAAATTTGGTCTTCTTTCTTCCGTTTGTTCTCTAGCTTCTCGCTTTAACTTCCTCACCAATGATGATACTAGAAAAAAGTATAGAATCAATAATACCGTTATTCTTTTTATTTTAATAAAGTAAATATTGCATAAAAAATAAATACGAATGGGATAAAACAAATGACTTTACTGACTGGTTTGTCTATCTCCATAACTGATCGCTTCTGCAAGGGGACTCCATCCAGCTAAATTTTTTATTTTCGCTGGCGCACCATGTGCAAGCAACAGTTGGACTGACTCTAGAATTTTAATAATAATTTCATATTTTTTCCTGACACTATTAAATATTTAGAATACATTCAATTACCTTTCCTTCCTAACATAACAGCTAAATGTAAAGGAGTATTTCCTGAAATATAAAACTGAATTATTTTGTGAATGATATAGTTTACACAGAATGATATATCATGTTGATAGTAATAGCAACCTTGTTTATCTTTTTCGGCAATGTTATAAGATCTGATTAAGGAACTTAAGGTTTTAACATCCCCTTGAAATATGCATTTGTGTAAAGGGTACTTTTCACTTTCCAAGTTCTCAGCCATGGCCAATTACTGTGGCTGGGAAAATTACAATGATAATGATCCTTTTCTTTATCTGATTGAATCCCTCTTGATGTAATAATAATTTTCTTGTATTCCATTTCCAAAATGTGGCATATTAAATAAGATAATTATAGCAATACACAGAAATTACACTATCAATAGAATGTCATTGTTCGATGTTTTACGTTCAATATTTATTAAAATTAATGAACAACTTTTATGTTTTATCGAAAATAGTCCTTTATATCAATTTAAATTCAAACATCGACACTCGTACATGTTTTATCAAAACGTAACGCCTAAAACGCATTCATATGCTTTGAAAAATCTTTAAATTACTTTACCATCCTTAAATTTACCGATACTACTATTTTTAACGCTGTCGTTTTTAATTATGTTTCTATTATTCCTATTCGTACTAGGTGGTCGTGCTTATAATCAAAGTAGGTTGGTCACTTCATTATATTTTATTGCTCATTATAACCCTTTTGGAAACATATGCACGTAATTAAAATGAATCGTATCAAATCCTTAATTTACTTCAATGTTACTTATTCTATGTTATAAAAATCTAATTGTATTAATACTACCAGAGAGAAAACGACAGAAAACGAGAGGGCTCATGCCTTTGTTCTCTCGTGGGACCACAACGAAAGTGCTGCACCTTACGGTCAATTCGGGAAAGGGGTCCACCGTAGCATATACAGGTAGCCCTCCTTCAACACGGCATCTTATAACACGGTTTCGCTGTAACACGATTCGTAAATTGCGCGAACCGTCCTACAACACGGCATCCTATAACACGGTTTCGCTCTAACACGATAAGAAAATTGCAAAAACCTTTGTAAAGTACTGTACTTCTACAGCCGCGGCGAGGCTTGCCGTCTTAAAGATACAATGTTGCCACTGAGATATAATTTAACATTAAACTGAGTTAATAATTTAACATTAAAAG